CATTATAAAGTATCAACAAATTACATTAATATGTGACTGACTATGATCTGAACTTCACTCAGTGGTAATTACAGTCAGTTATGTATTAGTGTAATTTGGCAAAATGTTATAATTAATGATTGTAATTAGCACTAACTGAAGTTCAGATCAGGGTCAGTCATGTATTAATTGAGTTTGAAGATACCTTGTAGTGGATGATTGTGTTTAGTACTGACTGAAGCTCATGAATAATTTGCTCCTCGTGGTTAAGGATCTGATAATTAGCTGTTCTCTACAGCAATATTTTACAAAAATTAGAAATTATGTAATTTTTGAACTTCAGCAAATTAGATGTACTTCATTAACTAGACAAAAAGTAATTTATTGATTTAAATTTTCAGCCCATTTTTCTTGCTATATTTATTGTAAGGCAGTACAAAAAGATAAATTTTAGAAAATATTGTTCCATTTTATAAAAAAAGATGACTAAATCATCAAACTTGGCTTGAGTACCTTATTGGACTTTGTTGCCTATTCTTCTTTTATTAGTTATAATTGCATAGATATCTATAATTGGAATATAAAATCTCAAAGGTAAAAGGATGGATAATCAAATGTGCATTATAGTAGTAATGTATGCCCATTTCTTAGTGTCAGTAATTCCAATACTTATTGATATGATACTTTTTTAAGTTTTTCCGTTTTTTTTCACATGAAACCTCAGATTTATTTTTTCACCAACTCATTACTTTTCTATGAAAAAAATACAGTTTATTCCCTTAAACTTGGATGTGTGAATTATAACCTAGAGATATTTCTAATTTTATTTTAATGGATATAAATTTTCATTAGTTGTTATATTTATTATCACCTTTCTGGCCTATCTTTATGATGTTATAGGTACTGCAGACAAAAAATGATGCCCCCAAGTGGCACAATGGTATGTCTGTGGACTTATAACGCTAGAATCCGGGTTTCGATACCCGTGGTGGGCAGAGCACGGATAGCCCATTGTGTAGCTTTGTGCTTAATTACAAAACAAAAACTGAAACTACATAAATTGTAATAAGTTTAATGATTACAATAAATCTGGTAATATTACTACTTGTTTACATATAAACAAATAGAAGACTGTTATGGTGCTTATATTCTTCATCTAGTTAGTAGTAATTTTCCTGACTAACATGTAGATTTCCATGAATATTTCCAAATTGTTATGCAAATGCTGGACACCTGTATTTTGTAAGTGAAAAAATGATATAGAATTATACCCTAAAAATGAAAATGGTATAAAATGTACATAATAATTTTTTTAATGCTTCTAAAAACATACTTAGCTTCATTTAAAAATTTAAAATAATCTAGTTTGGCTAATCAGATTTTTATTGTACAAATCTATTCTACAGCTTGTAGTAATATGTAGTTTCCAATCTAATAATATGGTGATGCTGGTTTCCACCATGTCCTATAATACAGACAATTTAAAATATTCAAAAAAAATTAATTATTTAAGTTTAAATATATTTTTGGTATGATTACTGTTACAATTGATAAAATAATTCAGGATATTTTCAACTTTATTATAACTACTGCTATGCAACACTGCAGAGAGAAGAAGATACACCTACAGGATACAGAAACAAATTAATTATTTCATACTTTGAAAGATAAGATAAAATTAACCCATTTGCTATATACAGAGTACCTAAAAGAAGTGATAAAATTAGTTTGATGAAAAAAACTATGAACTTTACAGAAGTGTAGAATCAGAGTGTATTTAATATGTGGTAGCATATAGAATTAGTGTGGGTTTAATGTGTGGTAACTAGTGATAATCAGTGTGAATTTAACATATGACAACATGTACAATAAGTGTGTATCTAATATATGATTTATGTTCTCCACTACAGTTACCATTTTTTGAAAAAGTTCCTTCGATAATGCTACTTTCCTTTTACTCTCTAACTTGCTTCTTCTGTCTGATGTAATGTAGCACCTCAAGTAGCTGAATTTCTCTACTTTCTACTTGCATTATTTTTTCCATGTATGTATTGTTATTGTACATTTTCTAGGTTATTACCATACATTCTCTTTACTTGTGATTAATTAAGAAACCACATTGTTCACTTTTTGTGATGACTGTTTTCAATAATGTTTGTAAATTCACCTGTTTCTGCCATAAGTACAGTATCATCAGTATATCATAGATTGTTTCTGCCATAAGTACAGTATCATCAGTATATCATAGATTGTTTCTGCCATAAGTACAGTATCATCAGTATATCACAGATTGTTTATAATCTTGCTACTGACGATCACCTCATTCAATTCAAGTATTTTTCTAAGAATAATTTCACTGTACCGTGAGGAAACAATCAGGAGAAGAACACAACCTTGTCTGACTCCTCTCTTAGTTTCTTATCATTCACTGATATCTGCACTTCTATCCTAACTTCATTTGGTCTAATTAAAAGTTTCTGATTAATCAAATATCTGCCAATATCCAGCTTGTTGAGCATGCCCATCATTTCTTCCTGTTTCACTTTCTCAAAGGCCTTGGTATAAACGGTGTAATACGGGTACAGGCCTTTTTGCACTTCCACCGGTCTTTCTGCTATTTCCTTGAGTGTGAAAAATGCATCTCTAATTCATTTGTGTTCCATGAAACCATATCGTTCTTCTGCTGTTTTTAGTCTTATTTAAGAGCAAATTCTCATCATGAGGACTCTCAGCATAATGTTGATTATATGGATAATCAAACTTATTGTAAGTTCAAATTCTTTCACAGCAAGCTTTTTTTGAAATATTGATTTACTCAAATCTGTTGCAATTATTCTTGTATATACATATTCGTTGGCAAGGGCTGTGATTTTTTCCTGTGCCTAAATCACTGCAGCAGCTATATCATCTGGATCTGTTGCTTTTCCTTTTATTTTCCTGAAAGCATTTCTGATTTCGTCTTAATTTTTGCTGGAGCCTCCATATTGTTTTCTGTAACAGGTTTTGCACTCCTGTTATCATAATATAACTCACTTATGTACTCGTCCCAAAAATCCAGTACTGTTTTTTCTACATTATGATTTTCCATCTTTTCCTTTTATGCAGCCAGTTAAACCACAGCTTCTCTTTCCTATGATTTCCTGTATTCTAGAATGAACGTTATCAACATCTATATTTTTCAAAATTTCATTCTTCTCACATTGTTTGTTTAGACAGAACTCCTTTGCCTCGTTGCATTTCCACCAGATTTCCCTGTTCAGCTTGTTGTCTTGCATTCTGTTTTTATTTTTGTCACATGTAGAATCAATGTGTGCTTAATATATGGTAAAACGTAAAATCAGTGTGTTTTAAGATATAGCGGCACTTGTAAACTCAATGCGTTTTTAATATATGGCAGCACATATATAATAAGTGAATGTGTAATATGTAGCACCACATGTAAAGTCAGTTTGTTTTCATATACGGTGAACACGCCAAATTAGCGTGTGTTTAACATATATATGGC